GTGTGTGTGTGTGTGTGTGTGTGTGTGTGTGTGTGTCAGTTAAAATAATTGTTATGATATCATTTTAGTGTGTTAGCTATTGTAAAAAACTGTAATGCATATTTTGAAGCATCACAAGGTGAATGGAAATGGCACTATTCAAAAAACAAAAACACTTCCTCTTTTTCGCAAAAAAAAGTTTATACGCTCAAAAAGGAGTTATGTAATGTAAAAAAGGAGAGATGGAAACACGTTTGCCGAAAAAGTTCTGACGTAGAAAACATTTACCTCACACGGTTGATCAACTGTTCTCCTTGGCCGACTGCAGCTGGACCCTCCTCCCACTGTCAGCGTCTTCTCAGTTATTCCTGTAAGAGAATTGCATTTCTTTCTCTACGTCTCCAGACATCATGTAACATCGCCAAACAGTAGTTGATAGAATAAGTACAACTTTCCAGATAAAAGCAGTAGATATGCTGCATTTCAGTAGTCTTGGGAAGTGGTAATTTCCCTGTTCCCACTGGTAGATTTAGTGGTAATATTCCACTGGTATAGTGGAAGAAATGAAACTGCCCCCAGTTTCGATTTCAAGATGGCAGCTACTCACAGCTTTAGAAAGTTAACTCTGTAACTTTTACTGTTAATTATCTTTCTTAATTTTTTTGTGCATGTTTAATCATTCGCACAAGTAGTGTGTTTTCTGTGCAATGCTGTACTTATTAAAATCAATGTTTATTTGCATGACGTACGTAGTAGAGCTCTCTTTTTGCCATTGTTTATATTGTAGCAGTGTTGTAGCTAGGTTAGCGTTAACAATACAATCGCCTGTCGGCAAACTGGAATGCAGTTTCATATGGTTTGTGGGGAAATGACATCACTACCATTTACCAGTTCTGGAAACACAATGTAAATGGAATGCAGCAACTTAGCCAGGTTAAAACCAGCCCCTTGTACTTTGCTTTGCTTCGTACAGAAACTTGGCTATTGAGAAGTGATTTCTTGCTGGAGGTGTGGCCTCTGTTGAAGTTTAAAATGATTGGATCTGATTTACCCAATTGCTAATGGTTGGCTGTGACGTATGCAGTGCGACAGCGCCACTGTGAAGGAGGCTAAGCTAAGAGGCTAATCGGAAATTGCGTGCACTGTAAACAAACCTACTTAGAGGAGCGAAGTACCGAGCCAAATGAGACCACTGTAAATGAGTGCTGCAGACTTGAGAAACAAATTTAATTTAATTTGGAAGTCTTGTCAACGCAGACACTGTGCAGAAAATCAACGTTCTCGTTCAAACCCATAGCAAAAATTGTCTGGCTAATCTGTGGTTTAATCTCATTTTACGAGATCAGTTTGAGCTTTCTCATATTCGTATCATTGTGTGATCATTTGTTTCTGAGTTAAGCTGAGACGAGACAAGACATCTCTGAGGTTGAGTTGAAATAACTGTTCGAGCAATACTTGAGAAATGGGATAAACAGAGGAGATCTCATAATTGTATCCCACTTATCTCAATTATGTCTTGGTCATTTTGAAGGAGAACTAAAGAGAATAACATGAGATGTATGTAAAACTAAAATGAGAAAAATCTGAGAAACTTGAGCCTTAAAACAGACCTTACCATTGTGTGTCTGATGTCTCTTCCATGTCTTATTATTTCTCTTTAATGTCTTACTGAAGCTATATATGAGAATGATATTTGAGCCATATTTGAGAAATATGAGAATAAATTGAGAATGTAATTTAAATATTAATTATATTTATTAATAAGAATAAACTGTAAAAACAATACACAATATTGAAAAGTTTAACACTTTTATTTGGGTAACAACATTAGTACATTATCAATCTTAGCAGCATTTACACTAAAAAATGTAAAACAAATATGCAAAAATAAAAATTCATTCATCTACTTATCCCCTTGCTGATAAGAGGTGTAGTTTTTTAAATCTTTAAACCTAGAGTAAAACTAAAAAAGATTTCAATGGTAATCAAAGTTATAATGTTCTACTAAACTGATTTTAAAAACAAACTGCAAAATAAATAGATAAGAAAAACACCCTCCAACAATAAATAAAGAGAACAATATAAAGAATACTGAGAAAATAATCAATTATTGCAGAAAAAATAAATAGTAATAAATAATGATAATAAACAAACAGTTTCAGCACTAATCAAATTCAAAATCAATGAGTACTTCGGGCTTTCTGTCTAAGTAGGGCAGAAGTTCAACAATGGAAGAATTTACAATGTTTTAAGTTTAAGAACATGTTACACTGAAATCTTTACGCTATAAATGCATTAACCTTAAAACCATTTCTAAAACAACAAAACATACAATAGTTTCTCTGATTAAATGATGACATTCACTATAGTTTTTCCAGTGCAAGGCTGCGCGTGAGCTCTATCCACCCTGAAGGTTAATCTTAGAAAATATCTGATGATCAGCTCTTTAAAATGAAACCAGAGTGTACTGACAGAGGAGAAGGTATAAATGACTCAGCATCCAACTGTAAATGTGGATGGAGAACAACAGAGCTGCTTCCTGGAAGAAGAACCTCAATTTCGCCTGTTAGCTATCACAATAGTGCGCAAGCACAAGAAAACCCAGTGAATGTCATCATTTACCAGGTATGCTTAGCGGCATTAATAAAATGATGCTGTTCATGTGACAATATATTTTTTAGCATTTACAAAAACTAAACAGCCTTATTTTACAGTCTTTGTTTCACAGTTAAAATTAATGTTTCAAATCAAATAAAGTCTCACGTTACAAGTAATCGTGGATCCCTTCAAGGAATCATTTAGCAACAAACAAAAAACCCTCTGTCAATAAAACCATTTCATCTATGAGTTTGTACAAATGTACTGTATCATCGGGTCATTCTTGAGAGTTTGTAACCTGGGCAACAGTTTCTTCTTGACCAAGTAAAACAAATTCAAAGTGTTGGTAAGTACTTTGGGATACCTGAGGTGTAGTTCATAGATAAGTCCAAAAATCACCAGGACGTCTTCTGCAAACCTGGGACAGCTGCCACTTTCAGTGACCACATGAACTTCCACAGGCAGGTGGTGAACTGGTTGTGTCGTGGTCTCCGGTGATGGTAAAAAGGGTCACTGCAGCGTCTCCAAGCTCTGGTTCTAAAGAAATGAAAAGAAATGAAAGAGATGATAAAAATTAGAACTATTTGTAACAGTTTAATTTTATTCTTTATGTCCTGTTCTAATACAGGTTAGTTTACTTATTTACAAACCCTCTCTCATGATCACTATTGGTTGTATGAAATAATTGTGAATTGCTAATATTTTTGATGCAACCATAATTCAGTGAGAACAAACTGATTTTGTCTTATTTAGCCAAATTAGTCTTATTGAAATCATGATTTTTTTTTTACAAGGGAGCCATTGGTTTATACATGTGTGTATGGATTGAGACTGGATTATAAACCAAGCAATGTTGGCCATACAAAATACTGTAATTACATTTTGCCTTTAGACTAATATCTTAATTTATGTCATGTTTTAGTGGAGGTTTGATCCTTTGCCTAAAGTTTCCTTGTTGATATGTCCTGATGCAGCTTAGCTGAGTTCACCTGAACCCATCCAGAGGACCTACTTATTTTTTCTTTTTGATTCCTTGTTGATAGGTTTTTTGTTTGCTTTTTGTTGAAACATTTAAAATAAGTGAAAGTAATTATTTTGCATTTACCTTTACTTATTCAAGTTAAGTTGTTATTTCTTAAGTTATTTAAGTTGTGCTTGGTTAATAAAGCAAAGAATAAAATTGAAGTAATTGTACTCAAAAGACAAGAATATGTTACATTAATTCAAGACATTTGAGTTAGTAGAACTTTTTTTAAAATAGAGTCAATCATTCTATTCAATTATTTTCAACATTCAGGTTTACAGTGTGAACACCCAGAGATCAATTTAGGATGGTGTGAAAGCTTTATTTGTGGAACTGAAATAAGCAACATATAACTGGTGCATTCTACACTGAACAAAAATATGAACACAACAGTTTTGTTTTTGCTCCCATTGTTTGAGTTGAACTCAAAGTGAAATACACAAAATAACCATTTCTCTCAAATATTGTTCACAAATCTGTCTAAATCTGTGATGGTGAGCACTTCTCCTTTGCAGATATAATCAATCCCACTTCACAGGTTTATCAATATGCTATTTAGAAAGCATATTATTGCATAGGTATGTCTTCGGAATCTGCATTTTATCTATGACATCTATGCCTGGCATTGTTTGCAGCTCATTTCCCAAACAGACTTCAAATGTTTTAACCCATTAACAACTGAACTTACCTTAAAAGTCAAAAATTTAGTGACTGATCATCATTATTTAAAAAAACAACAACAACTGTGTATTCATCTACATATCATCTACACTGCTGTCAGAATATTGACAGCACAATGTTAATATCTACAAAGTTTACACATTTTAAAATGTCTTAAAAAGGTGTGTTTGAGCACAGTGCAGTTTTGTGTTAAAGGGTTAAATTTTGGAACTCAAAATTGTAATTAATGAGTTTGATGACTTGTGTAAGAAATTTTGTAAGTTGAACATTATGTAAATAAACCATATATCTGGTAAATAATTAGCCTAAATGATCTTTTTAAATTTTGTTATGAGACAAACTGAGACAATATTGAGGTATAATATTAACTTGTGTTGAGACTTATTTGAGCACTTGAACTACTCTCAGTTTGCTTTTTGCTGAGAACTCAAATGGTGAGCAATGAGAGACAACCATGTACTGTATACCTCTCACTGAGACAAATTGAGATAGTTCTTCCGGTGATATCAATTTGAGACAAATTTGAGAGCGGCAAAATATGTCTCATTTTTCTCTTAGCTGAGATTAAAAAAGAGACAGCTTTGAGAGAATTTAGAGAACTTACACAGTGCTCACTGTGAGACATATTTCTCAGGAGAGACGTTTCAGCAGAAGAGAAAACCACTTAGGTCTCAATTAGTGCTCATTTATATCTAGGATCCGTAAATGTGACATAAATGAGATCTTATCTTTGATTTTGCTTTGCTATGGGAAACTCCTCCTTCTGTTCGCTGACTGGCCTGGTTGAAATTCTACAGGAGAAATCCCAGATGTAGCAGTGAAGGTAAACAAGAATTGAGTGGAACTGCATAGGAAGGCAAGGTCCAGGCTAGTATCAATTAGTATTTCTGAACAGGTGTGTTTGTATGTCTGTTAGCAAAATATCTCATGAAACACTGGACTATTTTATTAAAGCTCAAAGAAAGTCTTCACTGGATACACATGTATGACTTGATTAGCTTTTGAAATCAATTTGATCCAAGATGGCTGACACAGC